CCGACGTGGTAGAAAGGGAAACCGGATCGAGATAGCGTCCGGTAGCAAGACTCCCAAGGGCCCCATTCACTTATGTCTCCCATGGAATTAGACGAGCTGTGTAGGCAACTGGATGAACTAATCGAAAAAGGGTGGATAAAGCCAAGATCATCACTGTACGGTGTAGTAGTTTTATTCGTGCTAAAGGAGGGCGAACTGCATATGTGCATTGACTATAGGGGACTCGATGCAGTCACGAACGCTGAACCATTGCTACACATAAATGATCTATTGGACAGGGTGCAGGGTTGCAAATATTTTTCCAAGACAGATTTGAAGTCGGGGTATCATCAAACAGAGGTAGAGCCCGAAAACCAACACAAGATGACTTTAGAATGCGTTATGGCCACTACGAGTTCGTAGTCATGCCGTTTGGTCTGACGAACACCCCTGCCTCCTTTCAAAGATTATGAAAAACTGCTTTAGAGAATGGCTTAATAAGTTTGTAGTTGTATATCTAAACGACTTTCTGATTCTTAGAAAGTCGCTAGAGGAGAATCGACAATACCTTTGTCTAGTTCTAGAATAGTTGCGCACGCTAGTTTAAGTTAAATCCGAAGTATTGTGAGTGGGCCAAGCGCCAGGTGTTATATCTTGGTCATGTACTTGATGGAGATGGAGTCTGACTGGAAGACAAAAATAGCAGTTATTAGAGATTGGCCAACCCCACATACGCTTACGGAACTGCGGTTGTTCCTAGGACTGGCCAATTCTTACAGGAAGTTCGTGTGAAACTTCACTTCCATCGCTGCACCGTTGTGTAAGTTGCTGCGTAAAGAGACCGTTCAAGAAGTGTAATAGAGTACCCGGTCTTGAAAATTGCCCTTGGCCATTTTATAGTCTGGGACTTCCTGAGGTGCAGCCTTGTGTAAGTTGCATGATAGCCTTTGCGTCCCAAACAATGAGGAAATTCGTATTTTAATCTTAGGGGAACGCCATGGTACTAAGGGCCACTTCGGTTGGAGGAAGAAGTACGCTAATCTCCTCCGGTCCTACACGTGTGGTCGGAATGAAACACGACTGTATTGCATACATCCAAGGCTGCAAAGTGTGCCAGCGGAACAAGAGTTTCACGCAGCCTCCCCTTGGATTGCTAAAACCGTTGCCTATCCCCTCAGGCCCCGGAGACTCCGTGTCTATAGACCGCATGGACACTAAGGTTAGGAGTAGGAATAGGAAGAGTCAGGTTATGGTTGTTGTTGATAGGTTTAGTAAATTTGCTTCCGCTGCCTGCAGAGGCAAAGACCGACTTAGTCATTAGGTAATTCTTTAATCATTGGGTTAGGGACTATGGACACCCTCTGACTATAGTCAGTGATAGAGGCACTAGGTTCACAGGCGAGCACATTTAGTAAATTTGCTGTTTTTGTTCCGCTGCCTGCAGAGGCAAAGACCAACTTAGTCATTAGGGAATTCTTTAATCATTGCGTTGAGGGCTACGGACAACCTCTGACTATAGTCAGTCATAGAGACTCTAGGTTCACAGGCGAGCACTGGCAGCAGTTAATACGGGGCATGATTGACTATGTCATCAGGCAGTCACCCAGAGACTAACGGACAGACCAAGCATATGAATAAAGGCGAGCACTGGCAGCAGTTAATGAAAGTCTACTGGGCACAATTGACTATGTCATCAGGCAGTCACCCAGAGACTAACAGACAGATTGAGCATATGAATAATAAGTTGCTTCAGCAAGTGCTGCATATATACATTAGACCTGACCAGCTTGATTATGACGAGCATCTTCCCAAAGTGGCATGTGCGTACGACAACTCTGTGCATTTGGCCGCATTGCGCACACTGAATGAACTGCACAAAGGTTGGTAACCTTTGTGTCCAACAGCCTGTCTAAATCTGGACCAAGTTCAGAGACTGCCATCTGGTACTAGGGAATTTGCTCTACAATACAAGAAGGATCTTGAACGAGTAACAGAGAACATTCGGAAGGCCCAACACCAAATGGTAGAGCAGGCTGAAAAACAGTTTGCTGTTGGTGATTTGGTGTCAAGTCCAAAGAGTTCGTCTCGGAGGAGGGGGTATCGCAGAAATTGCTGCCAGCTTATAGAGAACCATGGCAGATTCTCGATGTCTTTGGCGATGCAGATGGTCCCTCCTATACAGCTGAGATTCCACCGCATCTACACACTTACCTGGTCTTCCATGCTTCTAAAGTTGCTTCCCTGTGTCACCAACGATCAGTTTCCCTCACGAAGATCTATGACACCACCCGGCATGGATGGTGAATACGATAGACCGCATTGTTGCAGACGACACATGCAGGACAGGACGCAGAGGGAGACCACAACGGCAGTACAAGGTTAGATTTGCCTACCAAGAACCTGAAGAAGACTGCTGGTTTACAAGGGATGAACTCACAGAGACTGCCCCGCATGTAGTTTCCTATTATCAGAGGGCACGCAGAGGAGTAAACATTGTAGATCGCTAAAGTTGAGAACTTTCTCGGAGGACCTCGAAATTAGGCTGGCCGCAGTGGCCGGGGTGAAAGAATTTCACAGTGCAGACACTCGAGTCCTGGTTCCAGGGTCCCAAATTGTCCAGGTCCTAGTTGGGCCCAGTCCCAGATGGTCCCAGTCCCACCTGCCCCAGGAGGTGCGTCCCAGGTAGGGTTGTAGGGTCCTTATGTCCGTAGGAGGCGGAAACGTCGTAGGTCGACGTCGGGCCGGTACCGAAGAGGCAGACTGGTAAAAGTCCAACCGGTACCCAACAGGAAAAGTCTGGGCCCAAAGTCCAATCTTGCAGCAGCGTCCCAGGAAAAGTCCGGAAGGTACCAGGCCACCAAAATTCATTCAGCAGACAGGCCACGGACGACCGCCATCGGTCAGAAGCAAACCAAGGCCAAGTCAAGCAACTATTAATAGCTGCTACAGTGCAGCTCACACCATTTGATTGTCCTGTGTGAGTTGCGGAAGCAATGCTGGTTGCCTGTGCGACTCACAGCTTGGGTTGCGCACCAGAGGGCCTGCTTGGTGGCACACCAGTTAGGGTTGAGTAAGGAGAAGGTGGCCATAGCTGTCATAGCTGAAGTTGCAGTTGAAGTGGAGCCGATGTATCGAGGATTACAATCCAAGTAGTAGCAGAGAGAGAGAGAGAGAGAGAGAGAGAGAGAGTAATCAAAGAGAGAGAGAAGAGATGGAGGAGAGAAAGGTAGCCGCAGTAGGAGAGTACCTACCTGTTTGAAGTCGTGGTTGCATGCGCCAATGAGCGCTGGCTATCTGAACTCTGAATTCGTTTAATGCGAATGTTCATTGATTCTGAGTCGCACGGATTTGGTGTTCCATATCTGGCTGTGGTGTGAATCTCTGTGTGAGCTTTCATTCCGCATGTTGTGTGGAGAGTAAATCTGAGCGGATCATTGCGAAACTGGCCTTAGAGCAAACCACATTTAGCCATGAAGTCAGTCTTATTCCAAATGCCCACCTGCCCTTACTACCGACGCGAGTTATCAGAATAATTATTCATCGCAAACCATGCCAACTCTGCAAGAGCCAAGGAAAGAGGAAACACGGCAGTGAATCCACTAGAGGGATTTAACACCCAGGTCTTATTCAGTCTTGTCCACTCACTGGAGATCAGCAGAGGGGCACTACCCTCTCTGCCCCCCCCCCCCCCCCCCCCCCCCCCCCCCCCCCCCCCCTCCCCCAAATCCTTGAAGTGTAACCCCCTGCTGAGGATTTGAAATGTTCTGAGTGTTTTGTTCTTTTCAATATTGTGTTACCAACTTACCATCCTTTTCCATTGTTTTTTGGTATCCATCCAATGCATCCTGAATGTCTATTATTATGTCGTCTGAAACTCAGGGTGTTTCATGCAGCCTGCTTGCAAAGGGATAACCTGTGCTTTATGCCCTTTCAGTCACTTAGGCGGCTTAGGCCCCAATAAATAATGCATTGGTGGGGAGCTGCAACTGCTGACATCCAGGGGCAGCATCCCTTTACCCAGGCCGTTTGATAGATACAACTGGCACGGCATCAACAGGACTCTTCAACCTTAGCCAGAAGGTCACCAAATGCCTGCTTTGGTCCTAGTCTGTCCGTTCTTCAGATGGAAGCTCTGTCATCACCATTGGTTAGAGCAAACCACGAGAGTTCCACGATCGAGTTTGTCAGGGAAGGGGAGGGTGGGGACAGGGAGGATCTGCAAAGAAATCAAATCGGGTCAGTTGTCTAAGTTTCCTTGATGTATATCCACTGTTGCCAAATTATTCCTTGATCGAGATGCAAGCCAGTTCTTCATGTTCTTCAACATCTTCCCGCTTCAGGGTGCATCGTTATGTTGAGATTGCCCATATGACCGCCTGTCTTCCCAAGCGAAACATGTTGTCTATGAAAACAACGTCTTGGGGGTACTTGACACCTAGCGGGGAAGAGCAGGCTTCCAACAATAGGGCAGATAATTTCCATGGCTTTGAGAAGCACACCACTGTTGTAGACCGCACTGAAGGGAGCTTGTGGGCATTCAACAAAGAGATGGTAGTTTGAGCTAGTTTCCGTATTTTTTTTGGGGGATCAGCTTAAGTGGTGATCACCATGGCGACACTTCCCTGCTGTTAAGAGTCTTAAGACCCGAATTCCCTACATACAGCCTAGGTGAGAGCTGATGAATCCTGAGGGGGAGGGAAGGGAATCCGAACTCCCCTACCCCCACATGCAGAAGCAGTGTCTACTAGCGAGGGATACTATGCTTTTCTCTGGATTCCCTAGTACGAGTGGGTTTCTAATGTTATTTCCCTTGTTTTTTTTTTGTTACTCGCTCTCCCTGTCCCTCTGTCTGTCTGTCCATCCGCCCGTTCGTCTGTGCGTCCGTCCGTCCGTCTGCCTGTTTGTCTGTCGCTCTGTCTGTCCGTCCTTCTGTCTGTCTGTCTGTCTGTCCATCAGCTGCTTACACTGTAGGTGTTGGCAGGACGGGACTCGTTGTTAACATGTGATGTCATGATGTGCAGGAATCCAAGACACCAAATTGGAAATTCACTCATGTGACGAGCAGAGCTACCATGCAGTTTTGCAGACAAGGTTTAGCGTGGATGATGGCTTTGCTGGTTCTATAGAGCAACAGATGGTGGAGTAAGAATCTCTCTTCTTGCAACCTCTTCTTCTCTTTTCCTTCTACACATGCATGTCTAGCATCTTCTTGCCCTCGATTCTTGCAGCCAGTTGGCTGGCTCGTCCTCTCCATGCGGACATTTCTGGACGGTATCTGGCTGTACTTCTGGTCAGATACGTCCTGGAATATCCGTGTATGCGCACACCCTTACTGTAGGCGTTTCCGCCTGACCCGATGCTTAGTGCCTGCCTGCCTGCAGGCAAGGCCCAGCTTTCCTACCTTCTCTCTCTCCTTCATGGATTCTATCACTTAGTGTTTTGACGTCCCTAACCTTTTTCCAACATCACCCATGACCACTCTCTGACCTCCTGCTGTTTTCACCCGAATAGTACGCCTGGTCATTATAGCTGTATATGAGGCAACTTTCAGTCTAGATACAGCGATAATGACCGGGTGTGACCCAATACTTTCTCCGATCCTTTTCCTCAGATAGAATCATAGACGTGATACAAGTGATCTAACTTAGTGCTTTCTTCTTTTTTGTTGTTGTTGTTGTTCAGACACTGATCCGTGCAAGGGACCTTTGCTTCCGCCCGCTTTGTTGCCAATGCATGATGTGGTTTCTGTTCTGAATCCATGCCCACACCCCTGTGCTGGCTCAACCCTTGTGTTCAAGCTACCTGATAAGGACAGTTGAAGGGGTTATAATGCTTGATAATTGGCTGATTGGATGATTGGATGAATGAATGGATGGATGGATGGATGGATGGATGGATGGATGGAATATTCGGTGCCAAGCAGTTGTTTCCGCCACTGTGTTTCTTGCTTCAGCCATAATCTTCGGTAGCAAAGTCTGTGTCCTCGTCTGTGCCTCTCTGCGTCATGGCAGTCTTGGTGTCAAAAGCAGGCTTTGTCTGTGGTTTGCTCCCTGACCTGTCTGCTGGCATTACCAAAAACTTTTGTACTGCTGGCTGCGGCTCCTTTTCAACACCCAGAATGCTGTGTCCTTTTGAGCCTTGAGCAACCCGCAGATGGTCACCGCTATCTGACAGGTGTGATGCTCCAAGCTTCGGTGTTTTAAATTGAATCTGCTCGCATAGTCCTCTGATTAGCATCTTCAGCTTTGATACTTCTGGTGAGTCTCGATTTAGCTCCAGAGTTGATGGGTCCCATTGCAACTCCTCTCTGATTGGTGTCATCGATGTCCCATTCAGTAGATACGTCAGGGTGAAGAGTGTTCGCTCCCCCAGCTCTGATCTGAGCATTCATTGACCAAAGGCGAAAGGTAACATTCGAGAGCATCAAAGCTGTCTTCCTCTGGTCCAAACTGATGCCGTATCAGGAAGAGGAGGAGGTGTGTCCCACAACTTAGATTGTTACTACCATCTTGCCAGAGCTTCTGAGCATCCGTTGACATCATCACCTGCCTTTGTTCGTGGAACAGGATGTTCAAGTGCTGAAGACGAGTTGGACTCTGATCTGTGAATCGGAGAAGCAATCGCTTCTGCACAACCCGTAGCTGCCTTACTTTTTCCTCTAGCCGGCCAATTGCCAGTCGGAGCTCATCTGCAGCTGAAAGGTGTTTGTCAATTAGCCAAAAATAGTCCTGAAGTGGAAGCTGCTCATTGAACTTCAATGAGAACCTTTCCTCATTGTTGGAAATCTAATTTTCTGCCAGCTTGTCATTCTCCTCCTCATCCTTCCCATCTGGTAGAGCACCCTTGCTTGAAGGTGCTGACTCTGACAGCATTTTTATGTGACGTGAATTTTGAAACATCAGATGATCATGGTAAAGGAAATAAAATTTTATCATCACTGCTTTGATCGAAATACAGCACAAGTCTCCGATTCATCTCTTCAGCAATCAGGGTCATAGCTTCCAGGCTCCCTGACTGCAGCCAGTATCTTCCCTGAGTACTGCATTCTTAAACACAAGTATGGTACATGTGTGGCCGGAGCAGAACTCAAATGTCATGACATTCGGCTTCGAAACTTGTGCCATGCCATCCTCAGGAGCAAGTACAGTTTGTCCCAAAGCATCTTCAAAGTTCAAATAGTGTCACCGATGACAGTGGCATCCTGTTTGTATCCTGCGTTATTAACTGTCGGGACTATAAACGAAGATGTTTTGCAGTGGATTGGAGAACTCTACTCTCCTTCTTCTGCTGATTTCCCTGATTCTTCCTCTTTGTTCTCCCGTGTCTGTCCGCACCAATCCTTCACTCTTCATAAACTCCTAGCCACTGTCCTCCAGGTTTGCTGTGAAGCTCCTTTCCTCCTGTTTTTCTGCTGTTGTTGACCTGTTGGTGCCTTGTGTCCTTGTCTGACCTTGGGCTGTCCTGCTCCCCAGCTCTTGCTTATCTTCTCCTTGTTGAATCCTAACCTGGAATTTTGGCTTCTTTATTCAGGTGTTCTACATCCACCAGTTCGAATCCTAAACTGGCTCAGAATGAAATGATTTGAAATCTGAAGTACATTGCCTTGCTTCTCTGTACCTCCACAAATGTCGGCTACAGTGCAAAATGTGGCAAAACAGTCTGCAAGGGGAGGCAATAGTCTGGGCAAACTGAGAGTATGAAATCCAAGCAGAGAGAGTCTGAGAGACACACACATTCACCACTTCAGTGTGTGATTCAAAATGTCAAAATGTGATCCAACCTCCCATCAGAATCTCATCTGATCAAAATCATCACGTATTATATTCGAGAAATGCACCGAGCTTAGGCCCTTCACTGTTGCCAAATTTGCTCGTCTCAAGTGGCAACGCAGCATGCTTAGACGCGTTTCATCCGCCGCTGACATGGAAGAGTCATGAGGGTGTACTCACGGTGTAGTTTTGCGGAATGAGGTTTACAACCATGCCACTTCGATATTATATGGTCAGAACCGGCAAAGACACTTGCCGCGGCTGTACGTTCTGTTCTGCAGCAAGTCAAAAATGATGCCCCAACTGCCACAGCTGTTTCTCAGCGGCCTGGTGGTGTGGATGAGGCTTTGGTAGAAAGCATGATCTGCACCTCAAACTGGCTTAAAAGAAAAACAAAAAAAAACGCTTTGATGTGCAGACGGTCGATGAAACAATCGACACGATACCCACTATGACTGGCATTCGTATCACACAAAGCAAACAACTAACTACACTCTAGAAATTGGAATTCCAAAAAATCAATGTGCTTGAACCCTCGCAGGTTCCCAAAGCGAAATCCCATGGTGATCCTTGGCTCTTTCCAGTATGTGGTGTGGCTGTTCACACACCACCACCCAAACCCAATCACAACATTGAAGTGCCGCTTGCTCATTGTGTAGAGGCTCAGTGAGTGGATTGTGACATTACTGCCTTTGTCACAGGTTGTAGGATTCCTTTGACAGCATGTGAGCATGTGGCAACCTCGACCTCAGTCTGGCGCAGTTGCTGCTGATCATCTGACTTCATTCCAAGATGCACCTTGTGCTCACCTCGCGAGGAAATGAAAGTAAAAGTGGCCTCGCTGTACACCAATGTGCTGATGCTCATGTGATAGATGTAGAGAATCTAGCGATGGAAATAAATCAGTTTCACACCTCCATCGTCCATCTTTCTTCATTTTGTTCCATCTTTGCTTGTGGAAATGAAGATCGGTCTCTCTCTGGTCATTTTTTTTAAGGCTTAACATTGGAAAAATGTGTCGATGCGGCCTTGGTGTCAGCCTGTGCTTTGGGCTGCTTGGAAACAAATGCAGCAACTGATTCAGGGACAGAAGTCCGAAACAAGTTTTGAATTAGAGTGCGAAACTAGTGCTAAGCTTGATTCGGATTTCTCTCAGGGTGAAAACCTTCTCTTACGAAATTACCTCCTTTCTTACAATGTAGGCAGACCCTTTTGTTGCATAGTCTCTGCCAGGTCTCGTCTGAGATCTTGAGGACTGATGAATTGGTCACGTTGTATTCCAAGATGCTTGCGTCTTTAGGTAGGAGGAAAGGTTCACCCTTCTTCTGAGGATGGTTAACAGACCCCTCGTTAGATATGGCAGACTTTTTTAGTGCAGCCAGTTTGCGTCCTCATACTCCTGGTCGCTTGAGTCTGAGAAGAATACTTGGCTTCAAATTCAGCCCCTATGTTGGGATAAACTAAATCTAAGGAAAAAAAAAAAAAAGATAATCTAGATCTATCTCCTCATAGTAAGTGATTCACTTGGCTCCGCCATGCTGCGGCACCCTGTGCAACGTTGGTCACGGACAACACGTTTTGGGGGCGGTTTTAAATTTTAATCCGTGGCTAAGATGGCCTCATGGTCTTTCAGATCCGTCATCAAGGATTCCCAGTCGTTGAACCGCTTGGTGCCAAGCCGGTGAACAAGAGTGGGAGAGGCTGCACCTTTCATGACTTCGAGCTTTTAGCGGTTCCAGTCAACTCTGGACTCGATTATCCAAGCAGCACAGCTGCTCTTTGGAACAGACTTTGCATGGAGGCATAGGATTAGAGTCATTAGACCCATACCTGTCCTCGGGGACATCCGTTAAAACTTAAAATAGGGGAATGATACAGAGAGTATTATGATAGCCCCTGCGCAAGGATGACACACATAAGTTGAGAAATGTTCCAAAAAAAACGAAGAGAAGGAATAAGACCCGTACCCAACCTGCTTGTCCAATCTCGTGGAAGAGACAGTTGTTGGGCGCAGTGGCAGTGATGCTAGAAAGTTTGAGAATTGTGAACTGCATTTGGTCTGACAGTACCTTGAGGGATTCACAGCCTCCCCAAGGATTTGGGGAATAATGGGACTTCAAGGAGGTACAACCTTTTATCTTTGAGAAACATGAGCAGCACGCGGTCTGTTCTTCCAGCAACACTATCTGTACCTCGAGGGACGCACAGGCTGCCAAAGCGTTTGGGAAATGATGGGGTTTAACGGAAGCGTTAACCTTTTGTTGCTTCCCCTCGCCTGTGTCTATTGGGCTTCAGTGAAGGCTTCCTTTGACCCGTGGCCCACTGATATCCTGCAAGGCTCAACTACTGTCTTCACCCGAATAGAACACCCGCCGCCCGGTAATTATCGCCATATCTGGGCTGAAAGTTGTGCCAAATACAGCTATAATGACCGGGCGTTCTATTCGGGTGAAGACGGTAGTCAACATTTAAAGGTATGATGTTGAGCACATAGGCTCCCCTCTGTTCAAAAAAGCTGTCTGGGGGCTCGGGGCCTTCCTTCGTCAGCGGGCTGATTTTAAGTGCACACTGCCCTCCATATATTGCGGCTTGCATCGCACTCATGCTTGGGGAGCTGATGCATGACAACAGCGTTGCTACGAAATGAGGGGAGAGCTGGCTCAGAGTTCTCATGGAGGGCTGCCCCCACAGGGAGCTGGTTGTAATTCCGTTGCATTATGAGGAACATCCATGCAACTGCCAAACGGTTTATAGAGACTTTAGGCTGACTTCCGTTGATCTCTGTGTGCTTTGGCCTTTGTGTTTCGAATGCTGTCTACCTCTGCTATGGGTCTGTTCTATTTTTGGATGTGTTTTGCAGATTTCCAATGGGGAACACAGAGTACCTCAAGCAATTCCTACTGCAGTACAGCTTGCTGAGGAGAAAAGAAGGTTTTGTGCCACGTTATGACTCACTCTCAGCGAGCGATCTTGTTTCAGATCTGACAACCTCACAGCGGCTTTCCCGACCTGCTAAGCAAATTGGCCTCTCCGACCTTCTTCAGACACCTATGGTCAGCGGAATAACGATCACAGGTGATGGTCTGGCACTTCGACTCTCTCAATCGGTCCTCTGTCTGTATGCCTGTTTGTCTTCTTTTTTTCTTTTCTTTGCGCAGGGGCCATGCTAATCTTCTCTGTATCGTTCCAATTTTAATCTTAATGGATGTCCGTGTGCGACTCTTCCTGTCTATGATACTGCATGGGTGTCGCTCTTGCTCTCTCCGCTTTCTGGCCTCCAAATCATGCAGTCTTGAGTACCACTATCAGCTTTTAACAACAGCAGTGTGGAAAGGGAAATCGGAGAGAGGCATGGGTGGGTGATGAGCACGGTAAACAAAGGATGAAGAAGTGGGAGAGAGAGGACATGCATGTGTACTCAGACTTGGATACTATAGTCAACTGGAATGGTTCATGGGCGCTCCTTGAAAAGATTAACGTCTTCACCCGAATAGAACGCCTGGCCATATAGCTGTATTTGGTGCAACTTTCAGTCTAGGTTGGGTTAGGGAGCAACTGTGTCCATAATTAATTGGAAAAATTAAACAAGAATTTGACAAACATGTAGGTAGAACCCCACAGCTGATAGAGGGTACTACAAGACCCCGTATTGGCTATACAATGTATACATCCTCCTCGTTTGGTTTTTGTTTATGTGTATCCGGAACTCAACCTTAAAAAAAAAAACACTGTGCATGAAATCAATGAAAGCGGGAAGCTGAAAGATCACTGGAAAAAGAAAAGCAGTGATCTTACGTGTTTTCTTTTTTCCAAGGGGAGGAGGAGGAAAAAAAGGTTCCAGGCTGATCCTCCCTCCAATACGAGGGGTTGTCATCATGAGTCCTGTTTTATTTCTGGTAGAAAAAGAAAAGCAAAAAGAAATTTAAAGAATAGAAAAAAAGTTAAAAAATGAAATTCCCCTGAAGACAGAAGATGCAGTAATGAGAAGAAGAAAGATGAAGAACATGATGATGGCGATACTCTCACAAGAGTCGGTCTCTGGCTCCGTGACGCGTATTCAAATTGTTTCTTGCTTTCAGACCTCCTTTTGCGGTGTTTGCTTGTCTTCTTGTTTGTCGTTGCAGCTCACACGCTTATTGGGGTGTTTGCTTGTCTTCTTGTGTGTGTATACACGGAGGCTCTGATTTTGCAACAAATGATGGAAGCATTGGCAGGGAAGGATCTTGCTCAGCAGAGCTCCCAAGAGCATCTAGCCTGGAGAGTGCATGCACTACTGTTGCCATGACACCCCCAGGGAGAACAGCAGGACCATTGTCACAGTCCACAACGGCGAGTGGCCCTTCCAGCTCACCATCCCCTATGAAGAGTACAGCTGCTGCTCAGGTGACAAAAGCTCTGCATTGAAAGTCCCGTATAAAAGAGAAGTTGAATGGTTAGCGTGCGAGCAGAAACCCTTGTCGTGGGAGAAAGTAATGGGCTGCTTTGCCCTGCGTCCTGTGCCGAATTCTTGCTTCCAGAAAATGGCGTAATGGAGTGAGTGTCACTGAACTGGGATTTATGTTTGATTGTTTTTGTTTTGCGTGCCAAGCCGCGTAAAAGCAGTAGGATTAGGTTGCCAATAGTTTTTCCAGATGGCCAAAAACTGGCCGAAGGGAAGCCATCCAAAAACAACCCTTCTTTCAGCAACCTCTCATTGGGAAAAGAGTCCAAAAGACCCTGAAAAAAAAAGGCTGAAAACACTTCTAGAATAGGGAGTAGTTTCTGCAGTGGTTTGGGTGGAGGGGTGAGCTCTGGGGATACCAGGCTATCGCATGGGGCTGATGGTTGGTAGGTTTAATCAAAGTATGCTGTGGAGGGGGCAGTAGGAAAAATGCGTCGATGCAGCCTTGGTGTCCGCCTGTGCTTTGGGTTGCAGGCTTGGAAACAAATGCAGCAAGCTGGAGTACGTGTTGTCTGCTGTTTGCTGTTGTCGGTTGATGACACTATGCAGCCGGCCTGGACTTCACCAGCCACGAGGCTGGTTGGCCGCTGTTTCTCCTGGAGCAGCGAGTAGCTCCTCCTAATTTGCGGTATGAAAGGTTGGGCGTCATGCTGCTTGAGCAGCCGCTGGTTCTCAGAGCGCTGCTGGGGAGGGAAAAGGAGAGCTGGGCGATCTGGATGGCTATGGTGAGCAGCCCTGTTTGAGGAGGAAGAAGGGGGCGTAGTAGGAGAGTGGCGAGGTAGTTACTGGCTATGGTGGACACCATCTTCAGCACCTTGTTAAGCGCTGCATCTGGAAGGCCCCAGTTGGGGTAGCGCTGCGCCAAGAAGGCTTTAAGGCAAATTCAGGCATGTCAGCCTGAAGAGCAGCGGACATAGCTGCTTTGTTTTGCACATCAGGACAAGGCCCTTAGTAGTCCGACATTGCCTAGGCCTGTCTGAAGTAGAAGAAGGGGAAGGCTGTGGCTATGGGGAACCTCTTGTTGTGCTGGCAGTAAGAGGGAACTTCAGATATTGATTCTGGCTCAACCATTCATTGTTATTATTAAAAAAAAAAAGATTGGTGTAGATAAGTTGGGAGAGAGTGGAGAGAGAAGGGGGATTTGTCATTGGTCTTGCTGGTGTACGTCTTTTTCTTCTTTCTTCTTCTTGGGTCTCTCGAGACTCTGCGTAAAGCCGACCACTTTTCTCAGGAGTTCTAAGAGATGTGGTGAGTCGTTATCCATCAGTCAAATACATCCTGGGCAGAATGTCGGGGTTCAACCTGCTGATGAGTCGGTGAAAGTCCGACGAAACAGTCTGCCATGGCCATGCTTTTCTTTTTGGGGAGTTGTGCGTAGCAAAGATGACAACACAATGAAGTTGAATAAACACAATAAACACAAACAACACACACAGAACACAGACACAGCACACACACAACACAGACACAACACACACACAACAACACACACATCACAAATTGCTTGTGCAGGAGGGGGTACTGGCAATCATGGGGGCACTTGTGTATTCCTCCCTCTCTCGCTGTGTGTGTGTGTGTGTGTGCCTGTGTATGTTTACATGAGAGCGTCGTGTGCATGTGCATTTGTGGTTGTGTGTGCATGCGTATGTGGGTGTACACCCATGCATGTGTGTGCATGGTCTGCTTGAGTGTGTGTGCGTGGGTGGCTGCATGTGTGTGCATGCATGAATAAATGTGCATGGTGTGTGTTTTTATCATGGCAACCAGCCGGACATCTGGACCGGAATCCAGATGGTCCGGTGTCTGGTCCGGTAGGTCTGGATTGGGCCCAATTTTTAAAAAATCGAAAATCTTTTTGGGGGGGGCTAGGACGTTTTTCGGGTCCCAGGCTGCCCACCAAAAATGCCCCTGGTATTTTGTGGTCGTTTCAGGGCCTACCGGACGCAGCCAGACGCTTCCAACAGCTCCCTCTGCTGTCGTACTACGCTGGTAGTTCATCGGATGAGGATGAGTCTGTCTCCAAAAATGAAGCGCTGGCTGCAAAGGTCCACAGAACATCAAGCTAGAGAGAGAGAGAGAGAGAGAGAGAGAGAGAGAGAGAGAGAAATGATTTCTGTCAGATCTGAGATCCCGTCTTAGATCTGGTCCTGACCAGATCTCAGATCTGTTCTTACGCAGATCTGAATAACTTAACAGTTTAAATTTTCAATTTTCATATGAATATGAATTAGAAAGTCGAACTTCAAAGTTCAAAGTTCTGTTTTTTTTCTGATTTTTGTACTCTTTTCTGAAGTGACTTGGGATTGGTCTGTTGAGAACTGGTTTCAAGTGTTGTGTGAGCCTTTGTGAATGTCTGTGACAGTATTGACTCTGTTGAGCTGTCAAGTTGTGAATAGTGAAATACAGTAAGCTGTGGTTAGTACTGCTTATAAGTTATTGCTACTTTTTTTTTTTTTTTTTTTTTTTTTTTCCCCTACTTGCTGGTTTGATTTGCTGAGATTTTTTGTGTTGTGAGTGAGACTGCTGTTTGTTTGGATATGTCTAAGTCCCCGTGTGATGATTGCTACGCGGGCCACTACGTAGCTCACCCTGTGCGTAAGTCTTGTGTCCCGGAGGGAAGGGGTAGTTTGGAAACCACAGGGGTAGGGACTGAACTTGTGCAGCAGATGGACTTCTGGAAAGGCCAGGACGAACAGGGGCATAAGTAGAATTTGGCTAGTACACCCGGTAGGGATTTTCCAGCAACTTGGGTAGGCCCAACTGAGGTCCGGTACGCCTAGAAGGACCTGGTCGCTTCCAAAATGGTCATGCATAGTCAGGGCGCGCACCTAGGTAGCGGTAAGATTAGATTCAGGTCCTTAAGTAGGGATTGCAGACTGCAATGACGTTCTCGAAAATGCAGGAATTTCCTGTAGGCCTAGCACAGCAGAAGAGGCGGTGGTACCATGGCCAAGGGAGGCCGGAGGCCGAGTTGCAAGAGTAGATCATTTGGGCACAATGAGTGAGGGGACATATTACCCAGCAGTCATGTTGTTCCTTCTTTTTTTTTTTTAAATGAACAGCCCTTGCGGATGCTAGGGGTGCTGGTAAGAGCAGGCACCGCTAGCATTCCAGGGGGAGGCTCCATCTATTGGTGGGGACCACCACCTGCTGGAAAAAGCGGGTCCAGCTTCCCTGAACATTATAATTGTTTGTTTGATCAATCAGACATACCATTGTGATGACGGTGAGCTACAGGGCTCACCTACGAAGTACAGAAATAGGGAAGTAGAGCTACCCAATTGCATAAGCTGCTTATGTAAACCCCCCCCCCAAAAAAAAAAAAAAAAAAAACTGACAGCCTACAGTAAGCCTAAATTGAGTGGTAATGTACACAGATTGCATGTCTGCTACTGAGGGAGTTGGAGGTGGATGATAAGTAGCGGACTGCTTCTCCCCAATCCCCTAAGCTGGCAACCTTTCCTATTCCTATATTGGAGTCTTATACTTCCTATATGTTCTGCTTTTTTAACCTGGCCAGGGCTTTTTTGAGAAGAAGACNCTGGTGTACCGGTCCGGACGGTCCGGGTCCGGTCCTGTCCGGTTGTCCGGTGCCTGTCCGGATTACCGGACGTCTGGACCAGTCCAGACAAATGTCTAGACCTGTCTCTTATACACATCTAGATGTGTATAAGAGACAGGTGACGGTATTGACTCTATTGAGCAGTCAAGTTGCGAATAGTGTAAGACAGTAAGTTGTGGTTAGTACTGCTTATTACTATTGTTTGTTTGTTTGTTTGTTTTTTTTTTTTTTTTTTTTTTTTTTTTTTTTTTTTGTTTTTTTTTTTTTATAAGTTTTTTTTTTTTTTTTTTTTTTTTTTTTTTTTTTGGGTCCGGACATTTTTTTTGTCTGGTGTACCGGTCCGGACGGTCCGGGTCCGATCCTGTCCGGTTGTCCGGTGCCTGTCCGGATTACCAGACGTCTGGACCAGTCCAGACAAACATCTGGGCCTCGGGCCAGACATGTCCGGGTCCGGGTCCGTGGTTGCCATGGTTTTTATGTGCATATGCACATGGTGCATGTATGTGTGGAGGGTTTGTTTGTGTGCATGCATGTGTGTGTGCGTGTGTGTGTGTGTGTGTGTGTGTGTGTGTGTGTGTGTGTGTGTGTGTGTGTGTGTGTGAAGTGTGCATGTGTGAGTGTGTGCGTGCATGCATGCATGCATCCATTGATTGTTGGTGTGGCCGTTAAAGCTGACTGCTACCAGCAAAAAACTCGTTCCCAAGATGGCATGGCAGTCTGATGGGCTGAACAGCACAGATTGCAAGATCAATGAGCCATTTTGATCATCGATGGGAGGGATTTGAGAATTCTCACATTATTGATTTCTATAGTTGTGTGGATGTAACTGATACTCGTCAAAAGAGTGTAACAGTGCGAGTCCATGTGGACAATGCACTTACAGTCAATCAAGCTTTCACACACCCTTCAAACTTTTTTGATGCAGTACTGGAGCTAACTTGTGGTGAACCATGACTTACCAACTGCTTGTTAATCATCCCACAGTTTGGTGCGCAAAGTCATGGAAGGCATGTTGGTAATGCACTGTTAAGAAGCGAGTAAATGTAAGGAGAATCTCTTACTGGGGATGGATGCCGGTGTGTATTTTGGTCTCCCTTGGTCATGCTCTGCAGAGAGAGAAAACTGGTAAGCTGCGGATGTCAGACCTGGCAAAGCACTTCCACCTTCCAATCAATGCTGCAGCGAAAGAACTTGGAATCTGCCCAACTGTGCTGAAGAAGATTTGCAGAAGAAACGGAATGCGACGCTGGCCTCATCGAAAGGTACATTATCAAGTGAATAAGCCTTGGTCCTGAAACTTGTACCCTCATGGGTGAAGCGTATATTTTTGATATTTTTTCTCAAGTTATCTTAGTTATGATGATTCTTTTTCTTCCGCAGAGGTCATGCTAATCTTCTCTGTATCGTTCCAATTTTAATGGATGTCCTGAAGGACAACAAGTTCTGATGATTCTATGTATGCAACTTCACATTCCTTTTTCTTCAAGTAAGAAAAACAAAAAAAAAAAGGCCCTTATGTTCTTGTCTCCATCCTATCCCTTAAGGAGCATTGGCCGCTGGGGAGAGGTCCATGATGCGCTGCGCGCCGGATTTGGGTCAAAGTTTTGGTGAGGGGTGGAGGATGAGGGCGATCGAGGGCGGGGAAGTGTGCAGAGGGGTGCGCGTACCGAAATGTTCACAGCGCGCCATGAAACGAGAGCGCTCGCCCTGGGGGCGGGGCACGCGGACGGCGTTGATGTGGATGAACATCTTGGAGGTGAGCCATCTGATATGCGGGCAGATCTTTTTTTGTTGTTTCCCCCGGTTGGCCGTTGTTGTTTTTGCTTCCTTCTTTTTTCATTTCTCGTGCGGCTGTTTTTTCTTTCCCTTCCTTTTTTCAGTTCTCGTGCGGCTGTTGTTTTGTGTCCCCCGTCGGTTGTTTTTCCTGCGGCTGTTTCTTTTGTTTCCCCCGGTTGGCCGTTGCTGTTTTCGCTTCCTCCTTTTCCATTTCTTGTGCGGCTGATTTTTCTTTCCCGTCCTTTTTTCAGTTCGCGCGCGGCTGTTGTTTTGTGCCCCCCGTCGTTTGTTTTTCCCGCGGCTGCTGTTTTTCTCGCACCTGTTCATTTTGTGTTTTTTTCTCTTCTTGTGTGGCTGTCGTTTTGTGTTTTTTTTTTCTTTTCTTTTGTGTCCGGCCCGTTGTTTGTTCATCTTGTGTGGCCCGTTCCCCTTTTCTCATTTCTTCAAAAAAAAAACGTGGACCCACATAGGGTTGCCCGCCTGCCCACCCACACACACACACATGTTAGTATTAATATTTTGAAGTTCACTGTTAACTGTTGTAGCTGGGGGTTGAATCCCCGCACAGATTTGAGAAACCCAACTGCCCGATGAGATAATCTTTGAGGCAGACTGGGACACTGTGTGATTTTGGGGAATTTTTTTTTATAAGTGAATCCCGTGTCAGGCGGCTGCCACGTCAGGATGTGTTTGTGTGCCCAAACCCTAACCTTGCAGAGTGTGGAAAATGGGCGGAATGGCAGAAATGGAAAATGTGTCGAATCGGAGATGGGTTTAGAAAGGACGAAACAGGGCCAAGAGCGATCGCACCGTTCTGGTAAGCGCGAGCGCTAATTTTTGAATTTTTGTGCCAACAAGCGCGGACTCGCCGTGCACGGGGGCATTCGTCCCATCCTACACCCTTTCAACGGAAAAGCAGGGAAGCGCGAGAAGCCCAACGTGCCACGTCACGCTGCGCCTACGGGCGTGGCTTGTCGACGGAAAGACAGGAGGGGGATGAGAGAAGGGAGAGGAGAAAGACAAGGGAAGGAGGGGAAGCTAAAAAAAAGGACAAGGACAAGGGTCTCCATAAAGAGGAAAAAGGAGAGTAAGGAGAGGCGAGTGGGAGCGATGGTATAGCAGCAGGAAGAGGAGGAGCACCATCGAACGGAGAGAGAAAGACGGAAGAAGGGATCCAAGACGAGAGAATTCACCACGACCAAAGGGGGAAAGGACAAAGAACCACCCAACACGAAGGGAGAGGAAAACGAGACCGGGAGGGGGGGCACCTCCTGAAATAGAAAGACGTCCTAGGAGGAAAGTTTCAGAGCGACAAGACACAAGCAGCCAAAGGAGCCGGACACACATCATTCCTCCAACGACTCTCACCTAAGTCAAGTCGATCCCATCCACAACCAAGGTATGATCCCCCGAACACAGACTCGAGGACGGACAAGCAAGCAAAGAACAGCGGGAAGGACAAAGGAGCAAGCGAGGAAGCAGCATTCTTTCTCAAGAATAACGGGATTGATTTTGTTCAAGATATGAGTAGAAAGCCAGTTTTCGTATGTCGTTCAATCCCTAGGCTGCAAAACTCTTCAACAATAGAGTCCGGTTTACCCCTGTCCTCGCACTAGGATTCCTAATCAGTCGATAGAACGCAACTGAGGTCTAGACCCCGCCGTGAGCATACGGACGATCCAAATTAGACAACGAATACAACCACTACATCTAGGTCACTCTTCTGCACATAGAGAAATACAAACGTGGGACAAAATAATTGCAAACAAACGACAGACAGGACAAGCAACAAGCTTTGCAGTTGTACCGGCGATAGGTTCCACCCGCCGCCTACACATTGCATCCATCTCTCGTCGAACCAGACCCAACACCACCCCCCAAATGTAACGGGTGCAGAGGCAGAGGAGGAGGAGGGAACAGAGGGAGAGAGAGTGAGAGCACACACACACACTCACTCACTCACGTGACTGAACTCGACCGGACGCAAAACCAGGGGCTGAGGCAAAAGTCGAAGTCTTGGTTTCGAAGGCCCAAACAGCAAGTCACACTGAGTACGAGTACAGCAGCAGAAAGCTGGTACGAGACTGGTTCCCGTACCGTACGAGGAGCCGGTATAAGTACCGGTGACACGTACGATACCAGGGGCATTTCTGCAAAGGCCCCGAGGGCAGAACTGAAAAATGCGGTATTTGAAAGTGGCGCCCGAATTGCAGCATGGCGCCAGTTGTCCAAAATCCTACGGTACCAAAGGAGGGGTTTGGAAAAAGGGTGCCAGGCCGAAAACGGGATGCAGCCGAAACAGCAAAAAGATAGACCAGGGATCGAGTCCTGACGGAGTCCGTAACACTATCCCCTCCCTCTAGAAGGCAACGTCCCGACTGCCAAAAATCATGAAGCAATGCTGAAATCTGTGAAGGACGGGACGGGGCCGATTACTGGTTAACAAGTTGAAAGGGGAGAGGGGTATAATGTGGGTGGCATGGGCTGCGTGAGTAAGAGGGAACAGGGTTTGGTACCCGTGAACAGAGTTGTCCTACTGATGAACTAGGGGGTTTGCAGGAAACAGGGAAGTCCTACAAATGAACTATATGGACGGCAGGGAGCAGGGTAGTCCTACTGATGAACTAAGGGGACTGCATGGTTTGCTATAGGTTAAGGGGGAGCAGAGTTCAGGGAACAGGGGACTTCTATTGAAGTTCTACTGGGTAAGTGAAACAGTGGTTAGGGAAACAGGGATCTGCTAATGATGAATTAGGGGTGCTGCAGGGGGAACAGGGTAGTCCTATAGATGGTTGACAAGTGTGAAGAGGTAACAGGGTTTCCTATTGATGATCTACAAGGGAGAGCAGGTAACAAAGTTTCTTATGGATATTCTACAAGGGTGAACGGGTATTTCAGTGGAAATTTTATAGGGTTATGGGTTGTCAGGGGATGAAAAAAATAATAATAATAAGAAAAAATAAAAATTGTTTGTTGCAAGGTTCAAGGGCACAGTTTGCATGTACAAGGGCTGGGATGTTTGATGGTATGTGGGTACAGAGTCGGAGGTCTGCAATGGGTCACGGGGTCTGGGGGAGGTCTTCAAGTGTCTTGATCGGCAGCAAGAAGGGGTCTTCGGAAGTCTTGGTCAGATCGATGATGAAAGCAAGGCGAACTGCAAAGGTCTTGGTCAGGTCGATGATGGAAGCAAGGCGAACTGCAAAGGTCTTGGTCANGGTCTTGGTCAAGTCGATGATGGAAGCAAGGCGAACTGCAAAGGTCTTGGTCAGGTCGATGATGGAAGCAAGGCGAACTGCAAAGGTCTTGGTCAGCGGCAAGGGGGGTCTTCAATGGTCTTTGTCAAGGAGAAACAAGATGCTGAGTGTTGATGCGTGGAAAGTCAAGAGGTCCATGTTCGATGGCTGTGGGCACGTCCGGTACATGATCTGCAGTGAAGTCTGATCCGGTAGCAAGGAAGTCGCAGAGTGGTACATGGTTCATGTCAAAAGTAGCTGCTCCAGGGAGTCTGCGAGGCAGGGTGCCGGTCAGGTGTAGCAGCATGGTGGCCAATCCAGCTGCATAATCTCCATGAACAGTGGTGCAACAAGCCATCGTCCTCGTGCGCATGCCATTAGATCCTTTATCGTCGGCGTCACGCAGGTCCACAAGCATTGGCGAATGGGGCAGGGCTAGGCAAGGGACAAGGGCAGATCAGACATCAGGAATCGGGGTCAAGGGCAAGGGTGGCTGTGGCAGGGGTGTGTGTAGAACAAGGTGGCGAGGTTGTAGCAGGGTTTAAGCAAGGGTTCAGGGTTTTAGCCAGGTATAGGCAGGGGGATAGCTAGGAAGCAGGGTGGGAACGATCATAGGCACGGACAAGTCTCATGGCATTCTTGAGATTTTCAAGGGGTTCCCATGTTGGTTCTTCATCCGGGTAGCCTGCCCACTTGACTTTGTATTCTTTGATTCGTTCCGGGTGATCAGCGACTTGGGTTGTTCTACGGCCAATGATGGATTCCATGGAGAATTCAGGTCCAGTGGGGAGCATGATAGGAGGGGGACGAGGGTGAGGGCGATCAAAGAGCTGTGGTGGGGATTCATGGTATTCTTTGAGGTATTCGACATGGAAGACAGGGTGGACACGGCTCATGTCAGGGGGAAGCTGGAGTTTGTAATTAACGGGGGAGGTTTGTTCAATGATGGGGAAGGGACCGAGCCACTTGTTTGAGAGTTTCTTGGACAAGCCCTGTTCGGGTTCAAAGCGTCTGGTGGAGAGCCAGACCTTGTCCCCGACTTGGAAGGTGATATCACGGCAATGCTTGTTGGCTTGTTTAGCTTGTTGTTCCTGGGTGTGTTGGATTGACTCGGTTGCTTCTCTTAGGAGACGGTTCATTGTTGCAACCCATTCATTGAGAGAGGGGCAGGGGGAGGATGGGTTGAGTTGAGAGGGGAGCAAGAAATCAGAGGGCAAGCGGGGGTGATAGCCAAGGTTGAGGTAAAAGGGGGACATGCCAGTGGAAGGGCAAACGACATTGTTGTAGGCAATCTCGGCGGCGGTGAGCAACTGATCCCAATCATGCTGGTGGGGATGACAATACTTTCGCAAGATTCTTTGGAGAGTATCATTCATCTTCTCCGTTTGTCCGTCAGTCTGTGGGTGGAATGCAGTGCTGTACCTAAGCGAAGTTCCGTAGGCATGGAAGAGTTGTTTCTAGAATTGGGAGAGGAAGCGGGGGCCGCGATCACTGATGATATTCTCGGGGAGGCCGTGGTGTCGGGCGACATGGTCGATGAAGAGAATGACAATGTCTTTGGCATTGTGCGAGGTGGTACAAGGAATGAAATGAGCACGTTTGGTCAGGCGACAAACAATGACGTAGATGCAATCATGCCCGCGGTCGGTCTTGGGAAAACCGCATATGAAGTCCATGGAAACGGACTGCCATCGGTGCGTGGGGATGGGCAATGATTGGAGCTTACCGGGTTTGGCCCGGTTCGAGGGGTTGACAGCTTGACATGTGGGGCACGAGCGGATGTAGGCTTTGACGTCGGCAAGGATAGAAGGCCAATGGAAATATCGGGAGATGGTGTCAAAGGTTTTTTGGAAACCAAGGTGGCCAGCGGTCTTGGCGTCGTGGTGCTCTGCCAAGAGCTGGGCGCGGAGGCCACGGGCGTCAGGGATGCAGAGTCGACGAGTGCCTTTGGTCTCGATGTACAGGCGGTTGTCATGTAGGGAATAGTCGGGGATAGGGTCGAGGTCGCGGAGTTTGTTGTAGATGGTGCAGAAGTCGGCGCAAGAGAGGTATCCTTGGGTGTAGCGATGGCAGGAGCTGGATGTGGGTCATGGCGGCATAGACTTTCTCGGGGGGTTTGTGATTGGGGCGGTGGGAGAGGGCATCGGCCACGCGGTTGCTCTTGCCAGGGGTGTGATAAATGGTAAAGGTCAATTGGGCAATGAAGTCTAGCCAGCGGGTTTGGCGAGGGGTGATGTCTTTCTTGGTAAAGATGGAGGAGACAACGGTGTTATCGGTACGGATGGTGAAGTATTGCCCATCGAGGTACGGGCGCCAGACTTTGAGGGTGTAGACCACGGCGAGGAGCTCCTTCTCGTTGGATGGGTAGTTCATTTCTGCGGGAAGGAGTTTCTTGCTGGCGAATGCGATGGGGTGCTCGCCGGGTGGGCATTGGGAGTGAGTGGGGGAGTCCTTGATGGAGGGGGTTTCCGCGGGGTCGGGGGGAAAGTGCTGGGATAAGACGGCCTCGATGGCAAAGTCGGAGGCATCCGTAGTGACGAAGAAGTGGCGAGTGGGGTCGACGATTTTGAGGACGGGCAGTGGTGATGAGCTCCTTGAGTTTGTCGAAGGCGGCTTGGCGGCGAAGCGAAGGGTCCGGTGGCACGGGTGAGCTCATGGAGAGGGTAGGAAACGTCGGAGAAGTTGCGGATGAAGGGGCGGTAGTAGTTGGCGAGTCCCGTGAAGGAGCGAAGTTGGGTTAAAGTGGTGGGAGGGGGGAACTCGATGAGGGCAGAGACCTTTTTGGGGTCCATGCGGATGCCGTCGGTGGAGACAATGTGACCAAGGTATTCTACGCTAGAGGCAGCAAATGTGCATTTGTTGAGCTTGGCGTAGAATTTCTGGTCGCGGAGGATGGCGAGAACTTGGCGGAGATGATCAAGGTGGGACTCAAAGGTGGGGCTAAAAACAAGGATGTCGTCGAGGTAGATCACGACACAAACTTCGAGGAGGTCGCGAAAGATGTGGTTCATGGTGGATTGGAATGTGGCGGGGGCGTTGGTGAGACCGAAAGGCATTACGAGAAACTCGTAGTGCCCGAAGCGGGAGTGGAAGGCGGTTTTGTGGGTGTCCTCCCCNGAGACCGAAAGGCATTACGAGAAACTCGTAGTGCCCGAAGCGGGAGTGGAAGGCGGTTTTGTGGGTGTCCTCCCCGCGGATGCGGATCTGGTGGAAGCCATTGCGGAGGTCGATCTTGGTGAAGTATTTGGCTCCACGGAGGCGATCAAGAAGTTCGGATATCCGGGGAAGCGGATACTTGTTCTTGATTGTGATCCGGTTCAAAGCGCAGTAATCCGTGCACATGCGGAGTTCCGAGGTATCGTTCTTCTTGACGAAGAGACAGCTGGTGCCGAAGGGGGAGGAGTTAGGCTTAATGAATCCTTTTTCAAGGAGTTCATTGAGCTGGCGCTTCATTTCTTCGGCCTCAGGGACGGAGAGCTGGTATGGGGGGCGGCAAGGGGGGGAGTGGCCGGGCTCGAGATCGATGGTGTGGGAAACACCTCGGTCGGGTGGTAGTCCGACGGGCAAGGATTCGGGAAACACGTCTTTGAATTCGGATAGGAGGGCGGAGAAGGGTCGGAGGGGGGGTTTTGGTCGGGTTTGTCCGTTGGAAGCAAGTCCTCGGGACGGTCGCGGTCAATGACAAGGCAATACTGGGCGGAGTCGGGGTGCTCCCCACTGGCGGAGTCCGTAACACCGAACCTGTTTCCCACTACCAACCAACCACTCCCCCACCCACCACCCACGAGGCGAAGAGCCCCCAATCATCAACACCCCTACCCCCCGGTCCACACGCAACCCTGACTCTACTATGCCGCGACCAACAACCAGATTACCCCATCGAAACGGAACCAAGCAGAAACTAACAGTACAATATTCTCGCAAAAGAGAAGGGTTAATCGAAGGGAAAAGGAAATTTCCTACCCTGCCTTCCGGGTGCAACCTCGATACGATTTCAACATATAGCCAGATCCTTACTAACAAAGATCGACCTAACTACCAATTGTCCATCAATATGTTTAATGATTAAATTATTCCTTTAGCATAATTAATAAATTGTTGGACCCTGGCGAGCGTTGTCACCCTTTGGCTTTCGGGAAAAGCACTCGTCTCTGCCAGGATCCAGCACTGAGAGATTAGTCTTGCAGACTCCCCAACATCCCACACAACGGTCGCATTGAGGTAGGTGCTCATACAACATAATTCGCGCCTAAATTACCCTAAAGCGGCTGCTACTGTATCCCACAGGAGAATATTACTCTCTCTCAAACAATGGCAATCACGTATGGTCAAGCGGCTAGAAAAGCCATAACCGAGGATGACAAAGTTCAGTCGGACGCCAAGTCGAGCACATGAGAAACCAAGCATAACTCCAATGACACCACACAAGCCTCTATCCATGAAACACGAGGGGTTACGACGGGACATGGATCGTTGGGACATAGAGCAATGGACTTCCTCATGAGTAGAACGGAGATCAAATCTGAAATCGTCAAATCCAAGGAAATAATCGAGAATGGAGAAGGAGAAGACGTTGAAGTCAAAGTATCGTAATACCCAAAACAGGACCTGCAATCACTCAATGAAGTCTATGAAAAACATTCCGTGTTGTTCAATTTCACAAACAAAAACAGGGACTTGCCACTCGATGAAAAAAGGAAATGGATAGTGGAAAGACTCAGAGAAATGGAGAGTGTTCCAGGTATGGAGCCAAAGTGTCCTACCACAAAAGAGGTAGGTACACAGTCATGATTCTCTGCATGGACCCATCCTATGCCCAATTCCTCATCTCCCTGGGCTCACTGAAATGCAAGGGCTCTGTAGTTACAATCCAGCGTTGGAAACCACCAAGGGAACCACAGGCCGAGGCTTCCAAACACAGGCAAATGATGCTCCAGAACCACTTCTGGTTCAGTTCGACAACCTGTTCGAAGGCATGCATAGTTTCGTATAGAAAAGATTACAGGAGGAATATCCCAACAATCCCATCATAGATTGGCTCCAAGCCAACCCAGACTCCATGGCACCCAACCACGATTCACGAGTGGCCTGCCTGGAGGTCTCATTAGGAACACCTTCGAGCTTCCCTGAGTCATGGATTTTCAGAAAGAACGGACAGTGAGTAACAATCTTCATCTCCAC